CACCCCAAGGTTCGCCACGGAAGGCTTCACCTGGCCTGCGTGATTGGCAGATGGCAGCAGCAACGACCTGTGGCGTACTCGGATCATTTGGACAAGGTTCGGTGTGGCGAAGCAACTTCGAGCACGAAGAAGTCGAAGGAGGACCAATGGTCGATACCGCCGAAGGCGCATGGCGAAATGCACATAGAGTCAGTTCACTTAGCGAAGGTGCATCGGTTTGCAGCTGTCTAGTTGTGTGATGTTGTGTGCAATAGTGTACAGGTGCTACTAGCAAAGTCTTAGTTTTTGTTGGTGTTTGGCTTGAAGTTTCTGGAGCTCTTGAAGTGACACCCGGGGTTCGTTTGGAGCACCACCCAAACCCAACGACGGACATCTCGCAGTTGTCCCGGTGATATCACAGTCATGTTCTGACTGGGGCGCCTCCACATTTTATGCAGTCTGAAAAATCCAACTGAAGAGCCGGACGCGATCTAAGATTTGACAGGGCACCAACGGCCAGAGAGCGTGAAACAGCTGGCTATAGTTCCAAGCGCGTCAACAGGAGGACCCGGCTATGCCGCAGACCACCAAGTCCAAACTCTCCGATCGAAGCAAAACGCAAGCCGAGCCACATTGATGCACGCCTCAGTGCATCCTGGGCACAGAGCGACAAGCAAGGCGGCCAAGAACGGTTCGACTGTCCGGGCAGGAGCATGCCATGCAGCAATGTAGAGGCAATTTTCGGGGACGTTTCGTCACGTCGGTCAGTTGAGCCGTGAGTTACTGCAAGTAGCAGTTGACTAAACAGAACAGATCAAGACAGGTGCAGGCACTTCAGCCCTGGTCAACGGCGGTATTCCCGTGGGTGAGCATCCCGGAGTCGGCAGGTGTGCTGGCACGGTGCCGGTGCTGTGTCCAGCGGACACACCCGGGGCGCAGCAGCGTGCTTTCGCCACGGGTTTTCACGAAAGCGAGACGTCGGGCAGCCCCTCAGGAGACAGAGCTGCGATGAATGAGACGGATGAGACCTATGCGAACGCCGCTCATGGGATGTTGAAGACCGGACGGCAGGGAAAGCCGCTGGGTCAGTTGGACCGGATCATGGCAGCGGGGCCAGCGCAACAGGAGAGCTTCAGCAAGTCACCCGGCACGCGCGGTGCCCCCGACCGGAAAGGGTATTCTGGAGGCAAAGCCAGGGCTGGGCCAGCGTCGCATCCCCTGCATCTTTCCGCAGGTTCTGGATCCCACAGCAAGACAGCTCAGAGCTTCGCGCAGACACCTCGACTTCCTGCGAAAACCGTGTACAAGAGCTGGCCAGCGATGGGCAGCCCCGTGTACAACAGCAGGACCGTGCCAGGAGAGGGCGATGCGCTTCAAGATGGACATGATGGGCTGCATCTGACCTCAGCATTGCCCAAGGCCAGCAAAGGCCCGGCCTTTGTACATCCACTTGGATCGCGACCTCCTAGACTCCTAGCTTTTTTTCGTAGTACCGTGCAGTCTGACTGTGACCTTCCTGACAGGTCGTGCAGGTCGCATTGTACGGCGTGCGCAGGAGCTTCCTGGCAGGAGGTTTGGCCGTGATGGTCGCAGCGTTTCCCCACGACTACCCGGTGGCCTCACAGTCAAAGCGTGCATGGACAGCCAAGTCCCTTCTCGCTCCAACTCCATGCCAGAAAGCCTAACCACAAACGTCACAAAAGGTGCAGAGCCTGTGAGAGACGAGTACGCGTTTGTGGATCCTTCGGCATCTTCTACCGCAGCACACCGAACTGCAGACATCAGACCCAAGCTTGCAACTTTGCAGGATGCGGAAACAGCCAAGCAGGCAAGCTCAGATCCCTCAAGACCTTGCACTGAAGGATCACAGGCAGAGGCTGCTTCCAGCCCGGCGGAGATCGCAAAGATCGAGATCAAAGAGGGGCACAGCGGAGACCTCCGCGGCGCATCTGCGCAGGACAAAGGCCCACCTGTGATGACTGACCTTCCATTGGTGATAGATGCAAGCAGAAGCAAGGGAATCAGATCTGTGGATGACCGTTCTCTCGATGAGTCATAATGAGAGCAATTGCCTGGGCAGGTGCAGTCAAGGGTACGCCACTCAGATCCAGTTCGCGCACGTCACAAGTCTTTGTGCACAGCGACACATAGAGTGACCACATCAACACCGATGTTTGCAACGGCTTTGGTACTAAGGCAAAGGCAAAGGAAAGCTGCCACCACCGGCAGTGCCAAAGTGCTTTGCCCAGTTTGCAACCACTGATGCAATTCAATTCAAGCACTACAGCTCGACTGGTTGTAGGCACAAGGGTGACGGCAAGAAGGGGAAAGGAGGAGCCAAGGGTGACCTGAAATCTCTCCAGGCTTGAAGTCATTTAAATTTGAAGTCTCCATTGTTCTTAGATACATTGCTTTCTGTCGCTGCTAGCTCTGCCTTGGGCACAGGTCGACGAGGAAAAGATGTCAATGCGAAAAGCGGAGGCCCGATGAATTCCGTCTGCCTGAACTTCAGCTGCAATACCGAGGGCGAGTGTCAGTTTGGGGAAGATGCAAGCAGATGCGAGCCAGCCACACCCATGCTCCCACCGCCACGCTACCTGCGCTCGCCGGTACTGATTGAGAGTTGGCTGGTGGATGTCTTCAACAGATATGTCGAGTCTATCGCGGGAAGCCGGAAAGCATGGACAGGTCATCCCGACCGTCCAGGTGAAGCGAATTTTTTGGAATCCCATCCATCTCCGAGCCCAAAGCTCCACGGTGTGCCAGGCTTAGTTGACACACGTGCACTGTTGATCACCGTCATGATCACCGTCGCATGCATTGTCGCAATGATGCGGAACACGGTGTGTGAAGTGACAAGCTGTGGCTTTGACGTCACTGCCCAGATGGGATCTGATCGATGATGAGTCTTATTGCATCGATCTGGAGGACGGCGTCACCGTGTCCATGGGGTAGCAGCCTGAACAGTGCCGTGGCTCCCATGGCTGCCAGGAGCTGGAACGGCTCTTTGCGGAGGCCAGAAGTCCGAGAGGCAAACTGGAGGAGAAAACCGGAGGAGGCGCTACGTAACCAAATCGGCCTTACCTACAAGCAGCTGCCAGCAAATCCACCAGATGCACCGGTTTGCAACGTTTTGCAGGTGAGGGAAAGCGGATCATTCGGGTCTTTGACGAGCAGAGGCGCAGGCGACGATGTGTGTAGTGGAAGCTATTCAACACTATGAAGCGATTGTCTAAGAATCACTTCAGTGGCATCAAACGGCCGCTCTGAATGATGAGCTCTTGTCATGGAGTTGCTTCGACAGCTTCAGTTTCAGTCCTTGAGTACTCGGCCGGAGGCAGATTTGTATCATGATTGCCCGTCTGCACGCAGCCCAGAGCCGCTTGATGCAAGCGAATGGCTGTTTTATGCTGACCAAGGCCGGGAAATGCCTTGAAGCTGGTCAATGACATGAATGCACTAAGGCCTAGCAGGGCTGTGCAAAGGCTCAAAGTTCATGCCGGGTGCCGTTGACCGTCCGACAGGCTCGGCAGAGATGAGGCGCACCTGTTCCTGCACATGCCGGTTCCGCGACGATCCGATAGAACGCGAGCTGTAGGTCGAGCTACTCCTCCAGAACTGCCCATCGGCAGAAGAGACACATATGCTTCGGCGTGCCCAAGAGGAGCCGAGATTTGGAGCGTGGTTTGCTGAAGACATGCAGCCTCTTCTCCGGCTCTTGAGGAGAATGTTGTTGACGAGAACAATGTTTGGGACACGGCAGAGGACCTGGGGCACGGTCAACTGGTCTTTGAAATCGCTCTTTGTTCAATTTTTTTCGCGAGAAAGCAAGGCAACACCTTGCAGGGCCTGCTATGGGGCTTTGATTGCTACTGGGTGCTCGGGTTAAGTCGGCCCGGCTTGTGAAAAGTCGTCTCACGCCGGCGTGCACTTGGGCATTGCCGGTCGGGGCGGGAGTTGGGTGGCATATCAGCTACCCGAAGGTGCTAGCGGGAGCATGGGTTTTGCGCATGCACTTGATGCGCATCCAGGTTATTACAACACACATCCAAAGGGGAGCGCCCACACTGCGGCTCGTGCAGATCTCCCGGAAGCTCACACAGGCATTGCGCGGGGCCATGTCTGCATCCCTAATTAATGAATAGCATGATTACGTACATCTTTGGGGTTTGCAGCAGAGTCGCGCTTTGGCCTCTTGACGGAGAACCTGCATCTCGGGTTGCGGTACGAGTGGTCGGGATATTCCAGGATCGATACCCGGTACTTGCATTGCGGGTTGTGGCATCAGCACTCGGGTTTCGAAGATCAGTCCGCGATACGGGCATCTCGGGCTGGGGCACACAAGTGCTTCGACAGTCTATCTGCGGTCCGCATATTGCAAGTTGTGGCAGCAAGCAGTGCAGAAAGCTGAGGTTGCGAGTTCAACAGGCCCCTAAAGCGCAGCGTGCGGCTCCAGTAGCGGTCAGGAATTCATGCTATCGCTGCTGGCAATTCCTCGAGTTCAACTGCGCTTGAAAGTGTGGGGCTTCGTCACCTCCTTCCAGGACAGGAGCCGCTGTTGTGGCACGTTCGCTCCTGCTCTTGGAAGCAATGAATGGAGCGCTTAGTCAGGACAAGTTCGAGCATGTCGCAGCTGATGTGACTAGCATTATTTCAGGGTGTCGATGCTTGCTGTCATCGATACGGGTGAGGCACATGTGACATGCTCATGTGGTTTGTACTGCGGCGGGGGAATCATGTTGTCGCCTTCTCGTTCAGGCACTTGCTCGGAGTGGCATTGCATGCAGGGAATTTCCTAAACGGTGGGACACGGCCTGATGCTGAGAGACTGTCACCGACTGTTTGTATCTTTGTCAGAATCGATTAGCGTTGCATGCGGTCGCTCAGATGACAGGATGACTGATTGAATATGTGTCTGAGACAGCTGACAGATCTGCCCACGTGTGGGCAGTTACTGTCGTTCTGGCACTCTGCAAGTTGTGCAGGCCTAGCAGGGCCTAGTAGCCTAGCATACGCTTCATACTCGTAGGCTTCGCCACTGCTGCCGTGATCGTTACCATGTCGAGACTGCCGGTCTCCTCTCGCGCGCTCGCGTGCTCCGGCGCCCGGTCCAAAAGGGAGTGAGGCACCGTCGCCAGTTTTGCCCGAGTGCATCGCGAGTGATAGCGAGAACCTTCCAAACAGTTTCCGAATGCCCTAAGAAGATCCTGGCCGGCGAAACCTCCTCGATGGGAAGGGGGGTCACTTTTTTTTGTGTCCAGGCCGAAGCCCTAAAAGGAGTAAACGGACCCCGAAACCCTAAAATAAGTAAAAGGTACGCCAGTAAGCCCAGGCCGAAGCCCCAACAGGAATAAACCCAGACCAAAACCTAACGAAAGCAGGCCCAAGCCCGAAAAGGATAAAACAAGTAATTAAAAGGTATGCTTGAGAACAAGCGGAACCCTGAAACCTAACGGAGTAAAGCGACCCCGAAACCCTAGAAAAAGTAAAAGGTAAGCTTGAAAGAGAGACGAAACCCTAAAAGGAGTAAACCCATGCCGAAACCCTGAAAGGAGTAAACCCACACAAAAACCCTAATGAAAGAAAGCAGGAGTAAACCCAGGCCGTAAATGGACCCCAAAACCCTGAAAGGAGTAAACCCAGGCCGAACACCAAAAAGGAGTGTTCCCAGACCGAAACCCTCCTGAAAGAAAGCCGAAGCCCTAACGGGAATAAACCCAGACCGAAATCCTAACGAAAGAAAACAGGAATAAACGGACCCCGAAACCCTAAAAGGAGTAAACCCAGACCGAAACCCTAATGAAGGAAAACAGAAGTAAACCCAGGCCGAAGCCCGTAAAGGGGTAAATCCAGACTGAAACCGTAAAATAAGAAGGTCCAATCCCTAAAAGGAATAAGCGGACCCCGAAACCCCAAAAGAAGTAAACCCAGGCCGGGGCCCTAAACGGAAAACCCTAAAACAAGAAGCCCAATCCTTGAAAGTAGTAAACGGACCCCGAAACCCAAAAGAAGTAAACCCAGCCCGGAGCCCGAAAAAATGTAGACCCAGACCGACACCCTAAAATAAGAAGGCCCCATCCCTGATAGGAATAGACGGACCCCGAAACCCGAAAAGGGGTAAGCCCAGGCCGAACCCCCAAAAGGAATAAACCCAAACAGAAACCCTCTGATAAGAAGGCCCAATCCCTGAAAGGAGTAAACGGACCCCGAAACCCTAAAGCCCTAAAAGGAATAAGCCCAGACCGAAACTCGAATGAAAGAGGGCCCAAGCCGAAACCCTAAACCCTCAACGGAGTAAACCGACCCACAAACCCTAAAAGAAATGAAATGAAAGGTAAGCTTGAATGGAAGCCGAAACCCTAAAAGGACGAATCCCAGGCCGAAGCCCTAAAAGGAGTCATCCCAAACCTTAAAGGAGTACACCCGGCCGTGGACGGCTAGCAAAAAAGGGCTTTCGCTCGAGACTGTTGTCTCGCATGTCTCGCAAGAAGCAAAACGACCCAGGTGACACAAAGAAACAAAGACACAAGTCATGGGGCACCCCTCCTCGAGGACGCCAATTTTCCCAATCCGTCTGGCCCGATTCGAAAGTCCTGGCCCTTTACCTTTGTCACGAGTATGTTGGCATAGTGACCCGACTTCTTAGCAACACGAAGACAGCAACCAAGCAAACATTAGCGTGCTGTGTATGTTTTACAGCAAAGACTGGCTCCACAGTGCTCCGGACATCAACGGCTGCCATGAAAAGCAAACGATCATGAGCGTCCGTATTGCTGAGGCGCGGACGTGCAGATGGCTTTGCGATGGAAGCCTTGCTTCAGCTTCGCACTGTTAAGGCTACACAGGCCATCGAATGATGTCTAACGCCCGAAATGTCACGGAAGCCAGCTGTGCTCTCCGGAGCTATGTCAGGCCGCAGACGAGACTCTACTGCATTTCATCACGCTGCAGATGGAGAAGCAGTGCCCCACATCTTCGACTTGAGAAGCTGACATTGAACACAATTGAAAACTAGATGTTGTGTTGGATTTGCAGGTACCCCGGTGAGCTTTCCGGCTGAAGCCTGAGAACATGCTAGCAGGATTGCATTCCGCATCATTCCGCGCCGCCACACATCCATGTTTCGTGTCGTAGCTGCCACATGCGGACTAGCTGTGCCGAATCGGGACTCAGATCGTACCTCATTGCCTCAGTGAGATGAACTGCCGAAAGCTGCTTAAATGAGCTCCTCTGGCCCATCAGGAGCAAGAGCACGACTCAGCATGCGGGGCGGGTGGAAGGGAAAACCACAGCTAGTTAACTTAGGCTTGCCGTGTGAACCGCTCGAGCACAGGCATTTGCACTTTGCAGGTTTGCCACCAGAGCTGTTGTGTTTCACTGTCACGTGACAACTGTGAGCGCCTAAACTTTCGCAGACAGCAGTCAAATGTGGAATCGCTACCGGGTGACCGCCGAACGTCTGTCGAATATGTCGAAATGTCGTAGCCTGCACATTGGGTAGGGTTACCGCCGCACACGGGTACGGCTACCGCCGCACAAGAGGTGTTGCTCACCTTTGTGTGTGAATTCCCACATATAAATATATCTGAGCATTGATCTAAAGGTCCTTGT